AAATTTCTATGTAAACAATAGTTTGTTTATATAGAATTTTACATAGTTAGCCAATCGTTTTTTAGTGTATTTTGACAACTACTAAGCCAATTTGAATGATCTAACTACTATTAGATGCATCTTAATAAGCTCTACAATTTTGACTTAATACAGAAAAGCGATTAACTTAGTACAAAAAAGTTTTTCTTGAGCGAATGCCACATTCAGAGTATATATAATTTATATAGTGATTTGTGTTACATTATACTATAATCATGCACCAGATGACTTGTGAATCACTAATTAATATATAATTTACAACTTCTTAAAAATCTTGCATGTTGATTTAATATCTACAGTTTTTGTTTATCTAAACTTATTAGTCAATTAAAATAACTTTAAATATTATATGACAAGGGTATGCTCTTTGGACTTAAAGCATATCCATGAGCATGCTCTAGAGATATGCCCTTAGGGGCATGCCTATGCTCCTGTGCCCTGAACCTTCTAGTGATATAATATTAAATTCCAGATCGAAGAATATTATATATAGCAAAAAGTGAATTAAACATCATATAACATAGTATTTGGTAAATAATTGTAATAAATCAATATAAACCAATTTATAATTAAAAAATAATTTGACTTTTATTTATTATATTAGAATAATTTTGATAACGATAGTTTTAGCTCATAGTCAGCAAATGCAATAGTTAATGAAAAACTTGTACAAAAGTTTCATGATAATAAACATGCCTTTACCAACCTTGATCCTGGTTATGAACCTAATACTATATCTTTTTTCCAAAGTAATTTGATAATATTTTTGCAGGAGGAATAGAATAACTTGTTCGGTGTTGATCACTAGCATTGTTTTTTTTTTTTGTATATCTATATTCTTATTTGTAAAAAAACATTATATATAAAACTTTTATATATTACATTTATCATATGTATTATAATATTGCATATTGGCAAAATAAAAAATTTGTTACTTTTCAGTTTTATATTCTTTTACTGTAGTTTAATATTTTTCAAAATTAATTGCAGCAATATTAAATATAGTGCTTTATATTATTATAATTATATATCAATTTATATCGATATATATCATTTATTATAATCGATTTATATTATTTTGGGGGCTATATATCGATTTCCTTTATTTTGGATACATATTAATTTTTATTTATTTGGTTATATATTGATTACTATCTATTTTGGTTACATATTGATTTGTATCATAATTGTTATAAATCGGCAGAGGGAATTACAATCGATACATATTCTCATAGTTAATAATCTATATCTAGCAGTCTATTTTTTTTGCTGATGTTAGACTTCATTAACAACAACCTGTTTTATATAGAATCAAAAATAATGTCTGTTTAGTTACTTTTGCTATAGTTTAGGAGAGGGCCAGAAAATACGTGTTTTTTTTTGGGGGGGAGGGGTCTTTTCAAAAAACATGTCTATATATAAAAAAATCTATAAGATAAGAAACCTAAAGGGGAGAGGATAATTTTGTCAAAATAAAAAACATGTGTTTTCTGGCCCTTCCCTTAGTATTTATTGTTGTTGACCAAGAGATTGTCAAAAGAATTGAATGAATTATATATTTAGCAAAGATTCTATTTGTTTAGAATAAGTATAAATATTGATAATTTAATACTTAATCTAATTTTAATTAAATTAATTTTTGTTTTTCTTTTTTTTAAAAAATTGTATTAGTGTATATATACTGTATTAGTGTATATTTAGAAATACTTTTTGATAAATTTAGCTTTAACAAAATAAACTACTATTTATTGCCAAGTAAAAGCCACCTCTCTCGATTTTGGATCCAAACATTTGAAGATTATTATTATGTTTTAATAGAACATTAGACCGAATATAAGATACCCCTCACTTTGGTCAGAAAAAGTTCTCAACATTTTGGTAAATTTTATCGATAATATACGGTATATACAGTATCTTTATAGCAATTTATTATTAAAACTTAAGACTAAAGTTAGAAGTTAATATAAAATCAAAAGTTAAAAATTAATATTAAAATTATAATTAAGGTTAGAAAAGGATTTAATACGTACGTATTTTTTGCTTAGATTATCAATTAATAATTACTTGGTTGAAATATATATTACGTAGCAACTACATATGGTGTTAAACACCATGGTATAATTTAATAAAGCCTCAAATTTTTCTTTTTTTTTTACAAAATATCAAATATCAAATACAATGACTAAAATTGTATGCCTAATGAAATAAAGTTTTGCACAAGAATAAGATTTTTGGCGCTTGATTCTAGATGAAGTCTAAAAGAATTTAACATTATAAAAAAGGTTTGCAATTATTAATTAAATTTGAATTAAAAATTTAGACATTTTTTTTTTACCGAGATAATTATACTGTATATTTAAAATAATTCACTAAATTCAAGCAATAAGTAAATAGTAACAATCAAGATACTTGTCAAGAAAAACATTGACAAATTTGTAAATTGTTTTCGAAAATTGGAACCGAACAAAGTAACGGTAACCAAAAAATAGCGAATTTAACACATCATAAAATAAACATTATTCCAAAAAAGTATGACACGTCTTGTAAAAAGTAAGAACAAAATCTAAAATAATTGATCCAGTATCAAAGATTTAGTTAAAGGCAAGGGTTATACGAATGCCTAGACAATACATTAACCAACTATATAGAAGAAAAATATAGACATAAGAAACGAATTGTTTAGAAAATAATTTAGAAAATAATTGTCTGCCAGCATAACCTATAAACCTATAAATGTAATAAAATTAAATACGTACGTACGTACGTACGTATAAATGTTAAATGATAAAAAAGTAATTATAGTAATAATAATTTATAAATACGTACGAATAATAATATAACGTTACAAGGTAACCAACAGTAAGAATTGAAATTTTTATTTATTTTATTTGTAACATATTTGTACGGCATCCCCTGGATCACGTCAATTTAATTTTAACATTTAGACAATGAGTTTATTTATTCACTAAATCAATGAAATATAACCATGTAGGCATTATATCCTTAAATGGAGAGATAAATGAAAATTCGAGAGTTAAGTTGAAGCACCAATGTTCATAGAAAGTTCAAAGAAGTACCATTACTATCGATTTCGTCAATAATAAAAGAAAGATGAGCTTGGTAATTCACACAAGTCAATAATTAGCTCGATAACAAGGTTTCTTGTCCTCTATTAATAGACAATCTAAGGGATTGTATAATTAATTGGGATCTGGAACGTGTTAGGATAAATCCTTTAGCCCGGATGAAACGGTTAATTACTAGACTAAGTATGGGTATATGATCATTTGTAGTAACCTTTTGTGGCTTTATGAAATGGAAAAAAAAATTCGATAGTATTGTAATTAAATCAAAAATAGTAAGAATGGTAAAAAAAAAAAAATACGTACGTAAAAACGGTAAGAATAGAGATATAGATATATCTAATATAGTAAAAAAAATAAATAACAGTAAAAAAATCTAAAAATCAGAAAAATAAGAAAAATCAGTAAAGCATATCGATATATATGTAAGAAAAAATAGAAACATGTATTAAAACTCGATTTCGGATAATATCTTCAAGATGTTCATACATTATAATCGAGGAATTGATTGGACGTCAAAAAGTAGTCATGTGGACGTGCGATTTAACTCTTGCACGCGGTCAGACAATAAAAATCATTTAACC